TGATAGTAGAAAGTGAGAGTGTGAAGTGAGAGTGGGAAGTGGGAGTGGGTAGTGAGAGTGGAAAGTAGAAGGTGGGAAGTGGGAGTGGGTAGTGAGAGTGGAAAGTGGAAGGTGGGAAGTAAAAGTGGGAAATAGAAGTGAGACTGGAAAGTGGAAGGTTGGAAGTGGGAGTGGGTAGTGAGAGTAAAAAGCGGACGGTGGGAAGTGGGTAGCGAGAGTGAAAGTTGGGAAGTGAGAGTGGAAACTGAGAGTGGGAAGTGAAAGGTGGGAAAGAGGGAAGTAAGAGTAGGAAGCGGAAGGTGTTAAGTGAAAGTGGGAGTGAAAGGAGGATGTGACGGTGGAAGTGGGAAGTGAAAGGTGGGAAAGAGAGAAGAAAAGAAAAAAGAATTGGGATGAAAAGTGAGAGTGGAAAGTAGAAAGTGGAAAGTGAGACTGGAAAGTGGAAGGTTGGAAGTGGGAGTGGGTAGTGAGAGTAGAAAGCGGACGGTGGGAAGTGGGTAGCGAGAGTGAAAGTTGGGAAGTGAGAGTGGAAAGCGGTAAATGGGAAGTGAGAGCGGGAAGTAAGAGCAAGAAGTGGGAGTAGGAAAGTTAGAGATTCGTATACTGCAGTAATTGTACAACGAAATGGAAAAGAGTTGATAATAGTGGAAGGAACATTCTAAATATCGAATTAATAAACGAAGAAATAATTCCTCTACGCATATCATTTAAGAATTGCATTATTAAAAAAATAATTTAAAGATTTGTTCGTTAATTAATTTTGAAGTTTTAATCAGAATTCTCTGCTTCAAATAATAAACTAACCGTATGTTGTAAAATGTTGAGTAAAGCAACAAACCAAAGTGATTAATGAAAATATTAATGGAGAACATTCAGTCGAAATACGCAGAATGCCAAAAATTTGTCATTTTGTCACAATCAGACCAGTAACGAACGTTAAGCGATTTTTCATTTCTTTATTGAATCAATTTGGAATGCCCGCGGTGGGACAATTTTATTTTGGTTTGACGATTAATGGGTAAAATTTAGAATTCATTGAATACGAATGATTCAGCGGTCTAGAAACACGGAAAATGCGAATGTGACGAGGTTTAACGGATCGATAGAACAAATAATTTCACATGTTCGTCAAACCAGAAAATTGCTACCTCATGGGACGAGAGAGTTGGGAAATTTGCGAAAGTCAATCTAATAAAAATTAATAATACTTTAAGTAAAAGGAAAATATAATTGATAGTAAAAAAAATAACAGGATGTATATAATGAAAATTTTTATTAAATCTAATTTTGAAAATATCTGATTTTGATGATAAATTGTCATTGATGAGATAGTAGTTGAAATTCCTGGAAATGTAAAAAAAAAAATGATGAAAAATGAGTAAATGCTCCTTTGTAGGGAATACGAAACGCGCCGGGAGAGGAAGGAAGGATCGTAGATGCAAAAAGGTTTGCGTGTTCATAATTTAGTTTACCACGTTCATAACTGAAACATTTGAGCTCGCGGAACGGAAATACAGCGTGTCGAGCTAGCGAGGCACAAGCTCCTCCGGAAATTTATACATTTTTTAAAGCCACCACCAAGTCCCTCGAAAATTGTGAAATCGTTGAAAACATGAGAACAGAAGTATTAAGGAAACAATACTTGATTAAATTCCAAAACTAATAGCTCGCCAACTTCATCTCTCTGCCTCTCATTAAAAGTCTAACAATTTTTTAATAATTTATCCCCCAAATCATTTTTGAAAGAACAGAGTCGCATATTCCTGTTTGCCATTCTTTTCAATCATTCAAATTTCCATCACGTTTTTTTCAGCTTTTGCAAATTGTATTTTTCTGACAAAAAATTTTTCCTTTATTCGAAATAGAAAAAAAATTGTCAAATTCTCCATAAAGTTTCCCAAAAGGAAATTAATTGGTTACTATTCTCGAAATTATTCCCACTTCCAAAAAAGGTAGTTCAAGTTAGATTTGAGAGAATAAGGTGGAACACCATTGGGTCTGTGCTTTACAATGATGACAAAAGCTGGCAAGTAAGAAAAGGATAGGTGGGTTGTGGGAAAGGAGGGTGGAGGGAAGCAACGGACTACGATAAAGCTCATTGATTTTCACTTTGGGGAAAGTCGATCGCTACTACATTTATTACATTTATTCCAGTTATCTTAGTTTGTCACTACGGATCCCTTTAGTAGTTTTTTCTTTGACCTAACGACATGGACTGTTTGCCGAGTTTCTTATCATTCACCTTATCTCAAGGTTATTTATTATGCTCATTAAATTTACATTATTTAACTTTACTGATGATACAAATCAATAAAAGGCACTTTCTTAAATTGCTCACTAAATAATAGAAATTGATTCTACTACTTTTTGATAAGCAACGAATTTCGTGAAATGTTTGTATCGGGAAATTTTTTCCCCTCAATAAATTAGAATAATTTTTTGTTACTCTATTCCAGACATTAAAAATTACCTCACTTTTATTTTCAAGTTGATTATTTTTGTTAATTGTTCATTAACAATTACATTGACGATAATTATAATAGAATGAGGGGTTTTGGTAAATAAACAATAGTCTTCTGTAAATTTCATGTAAACAACATTTTTTTGTGATACGCAGTGAATTTAATTACATGTTATTTCCTGTAAAAATTGAAATTTGTTTCAGGTGCAAATTGTGATACGCAGTGCATTTAATAATATTTCGTTGGCATTGTTCTGTTTTGTGATTATTTTGAGAATTAAATTTTTCAATGGCTGCCACAAAATGTTGATCAAAGTTACTTTTTTTTAAACAATATTATAAACAAATGTAGTATTTACTATATGACATTAAATTTCAAAGTTTTATTATACATTAAACAAAAGAATTAGAAAAATTAGTCGCGCAATTTTGCTAGTATTTATTCTAAAGGGAAGCAAATGATTTGCTAATCAGCAAAGCTGAAAGTAGTGTCACTATCAACCCTTAACACTTAATGGATACTGTGTCTCGTTTGTTATTAGAAATTCCAGAAATGATACTCACGAATTTATGTTATAAACCTAATGTTTCCATGACATTAATTTCAAAATATGGTTATGATGGAACATCCAGTCAGAATTGCGGTACAGTAAGAATTTTACTGATACATCAAAGTCTAATGCTTACCAACTTGATTTTTTATATCATGCTTTTAGCTTTGTACTTTATGTTACAATAAAAGGGATCGAATAATTATTTCCATAAATTCAAAAAATTTTAGCTTATATTATCAGGAAAAGTTTCAAAAAAACAAAATCTAAACTAAATGATTAATGTACAACACTGTCTTATCTTGACGAATAAAATTTTTATCGACGATTAAGGATCACTTTGCTTTTATAAATAAAAAAAAAAAATCAATTCTATAAAATAAAGAAAGAGAGAGATTTTTTTAAAAGGACATAGTAGATTCAGAAACTGGTCCGAACATGTTTTATGCAGTTTCAAATTGCTACCCTGTAAGCGTGAATTAGCTTTATAAAAGTTCTCGAGGTAATAAGACTTTGAAGCTTTCCTGCAAATGTTAAATTGTAGAACTATTCAGAAAAAGGGAGAGAAAGTAAAAAAAAAGAAACGTAAAAAAAGGAAGTGGAATAGAAAACGGGCGAGCAAACGTCAAGGAGTTCTCGACTCGATCGGGAGGCACTACGAATAGGGAGAAGGAGTGAACGAGAGAGAGAGAGACGAGTTCTGAGGAAAGCCTCACACTTCTTTATGGAAATTAAGGGGATGTGATTTCGACTCTAAAGAAGGAGCCAACCTACCTTCCAACCTGTCCCAGACTTTTCTTGTCGTTTCCTTTTGCTATCTTTGAGGTTAAATTTTTCTACAGATGCAGAATCATGCTCTTTAAAAAATTGCTCTTTCATTTTGCGATTCGCACTGGTAAAAAAAATTTTTTTTTTAAGGAAAAAGGATGTTAAGTCAAAACTTCTGTTTTTCTTCTTTTTTTCGAAATCTGCTTCTAAAACTGTTTTTTATTTCTTTTTAAAGATATGAATAAAGTAAACGGAATTTGGTTTTGAGGACTTTTTTAAAATTTTAAGGTTTATAAAATTATATACATTAAGGAATAATATTTTTATCAGAAAAATGGAAAATATTTCTGATGGTATGACTTCAAGAATCCCTTGATAACAATTTATATGAAAATCCGTTAATTTTTTAAAATTTCGTCCGCCATATTGGATCCGCCATTTTGAATTTTTAAAAACTAGGTTCAGATTTGTAATCAGACTCTAACAACTTCTTGATACGAATTTATACCGAAATCCGTTAATATTTTAAATATCGTCCGCCATATTGGATCTGCCATTTTGAATTTTTGAAAACGAACTTCAGATTTGTAATCAGCCATCCCAAAAGCCCCTTGATACTAATTTTTACCGAAATCTGTCAATTTTTTAATTTTTGTCCGCCATATTGGATCCGCCATTTTGAATTTTTGAAAACAGACTTCAGATTCGTAATCAGCGACCCCAAAAACCCTTTGATACTAATTTATACCGAAATCCGTTAATTTTTTAAATTTCGTCCGCCATATTGGATCCGCCATTTTGAATTTTTAAAAACTAAGTTCAGATTCGTAATCGGAGACCCCAAAAGCCCCTTGATACCAATTTATACCGAAATCCGTCAATTTTTTAAATTTTGTCCGCCATATTGGATCAGCCATTTTAAATTTGGAAAAACTAAGTTCAGATTCGTAATCGGAGACCCCAAAAGCCCCTTGATACTAATTTATACCGAAATCCGTTAATTTTTTAAAATTTCGTCCGCCATATTGGATCCGCCATTTTGAAATTTGAAAGACAGTTTAGATTCGTATTAATTGTCTCAAAATTTTCTTATGAGCTTTAAAATATGCAGAAAAATTATTCTGAGATAATGATCCAGATATCCAGCTTCATAAGAACTTATATTTAGGATAAAAAGGAAGTAAAAGGATTTAAAAAAAAATTAATTGCAACTCCAGGTCTACAATATAACGTGATATTTATTGTTATTATTCGTTAACCATGATTTTTCAGCAATTTCTTCAAATTCATTTCATATAATACAATTGATTTAGCTTTTGTTCTCTATACACTCTAGATTGACGCCTAAAGGTACATTATATACAAAAGCGATGAAAGATTTTTCTTTCATTTTACTATGCTACGATTTCAGTAATATTCTCGCTTGGTTTATGCCTTTGTGAGATTCCCTTCGCCTCGCTTGTTTGTTTTTCAAGAATAAACATTCCCCAGAGACAGCAATGGAATATAATATAGAAAAAGTACAACTTGAAGAAATGAAATTCGATTTTTTATTTAAACATTTTATTTTATTTTCAATTTTTATTATTCAGACTATTTTTCTGTCACCTGAGGCTTCTTGTGGAATTTCTCGAGAGGTGTTTCTCTTTAGTTGATTTCTTTTTTTAAAAATTCATTTGCGAATAAATAGAAAATAATTGACAATTACTTTTTGGATAGATTTACATATTTTCTAGAAGGAAATAAAATTCCTGTTTGAGATTATAAAAAAAGAAATACGATGCCTATATTAATAATTGACATTGAAGCAAAAATTTGTTTATATAACTAAATAGATTTTTATCATAGGGTCCGTATTGTCAATTTTACGTTTCGTTTTGCAGCTGAGAAAAAGCGAGACATTCCTGGTCCATATTCGAATTTCATTTCATAGAAATAATTCACTTTTCTGTTTTCACAATACTCTGCGTAACATTTTTCAGTAATAACTATAAAACGCAAATTACTTTCCATTTTTTACAAATTTTTTACAATATAACTGTCTATAAACCGTGACCTAGTAAATATTTTCAATTTTCATCAAGGAGTAATTTTCCGTACAAAAGTTTGCATTTTGTTTTTAGCAATTACTTCATTTTGGAATTGTTTTATACTGCCGTGTAGAAAATTTTCTATTTTACGTATTTATTTTTTTTACACTATCTTCAATCAAACTCGTTGAGTGTTTTGGTTTACTTATTTAATAAATAGCACAATACGCATTTATATCATACACGCACAACCGAACTGTTTTTTTTTCTTTTTTCATTTTAATATTTTACACCATTATTTCACAATAATGAGATGTTTATTAGTATAATGTTTGCGAATGTCATCAGTGACACTCAATCGAACTCGAAATCTCCGTAGAAAAATAAATTATCTGATGTATCTTGGCAATTGGACACATGGACATCTTCGACTGGACGAAAAAGCCAAGCGTCATCCTTCAGCCAATCTCAGTAAATATTTCGTGAATATGACTCCCCAACGTCTCGCCATGTATTTGCTGTAAACAAAAGGAATTTTTCTTTTATTGCACATTATTTTGAAAAATATTTTTCATTAACAATGAATTGAAGTTGACAATTAACAACAAATTGCTGTGGTTACTTTTTATTAATTGTCAATTAATAGTTATTATCGTATCAAGGGCGCAAAATAGGTGATTGCGGCGATGGCGAGATGAAGGGACCGAGGGGACATTTTCGCGCCCGAGGCGAAGCCGAGGGTGCGAAAGTGTCCCTGAGGTCCCGAAATCTCGCCAAAGTCGTAATCTCCTTTGCGCCCATGTTGCGAACATAATTTTTTGTCCTAACTGCATGAAAAGTATGGCATCGAGGGCACGAGCGAAGCGGGCGTAAAAGTACTTTTGCGCCCGCTCGGGCTAGATGAAGCGGGCGCAAAAGTACTTTTGCGCCCGCTTGTGTGACGTCAGCGGGCGTAAAAGAACTTTCGCGACCGCTTCCCTGGCCCCGGGCGAGAATAAGTTACTTTGCGCCCACTTTAAGTGCCCGAAATGACATACTTTTCGTGCAGGTAGGACAAAAATTAATTTTAATGACTCAGATATTAATAAAAATTGTTCTAGTAATAGTTTAGGACCTGGAAAACATTTTTTGACTGTTAATTGTTAGTAAACAGAAGATAAATTCGTTAAAAAATTTTTTTTACATCTTCTGATGATTATTGGCTGTGGTTACTTTTTATTAATTGTGAATTAAATTAAGTTTGATGACTCAGATATTAATGGCAATTGTTCTAGTAATAGTTTAGGACCAGGAAAACATTTTTTGACTGTTAATTGTTAGTAAACAGAAGATAAATTCGTTGAAAAATTTTTTTTCATCTTCTGATGATTATTGGCTGTGTTTACTTTTTATTAATTGTCAATTAAATTAATTTTGATGACTCAGATATTAATGGGAATTGTTCTAGTAATAGTTTAAGATCAGGAAAAATTTTTTTGACTAACAATTGTTAGTAAACCGAAGATAAATTCGTTCAAAAAATAATTTTTCATCTTCTGCTGATTATCGGCTGTGGTTACTTTTAATGAATTGGGAATTAAATTAATTTTGATGACTAAAATAGTTTTCAGAATTTGTCCGTCGTTTTTTATTTTTTAAAATCGTGTGCCCTGTCTGACCCCTTGTGGACCTGTATTTTACCAGAGTAAAAAGCTATTGAATTAATTATATATCTTTAATTTAAAATTATTAAATAAACACTTATGGTACCTTTGTATTTCATGTCCTTGGCCATTGTTGGACATTTAGCTTCTGGACGCTGCTAAAAACAGAAAAAATGTTGAAAAATTATTTTTAAATTTAAACTATTTCTAAAAATAGAAATCTTCAGTTGGTTGTGAAATTAATGTTAATTAACTCTACGAAATTACCTAATTGGTTGTTTTCTTGTACTTGACAGTTTAGAAACCAGTAGGTAAATTTTTTTATAAGTTTCATTACTACCTGTAAAAGGTGAAGTCAAATTTCAAAAAACTTTTCCTAATTGGAAAACAGTTTTTGACTTTCTGACATTAAACAGAATACCAAAATTTTGAAATTATATTTGAACAAATTCCACATAAAGTTTTAACAAGTTTTCGTCTATTTCAAACAAGATTTACATTGTTTTGGACAAGTTTCGCGTTGATATTGGAAATGTTTCAAAACATTTTGAATCCTTGTCAACAGATTTTCAAACAAACTTTGAATTTTTAATAAAAAATACTTGACAGTTTTTTGTTTGAAAAATTAGAAAACTTATCTAGTTCATAACAAGGAGTTTGATAATTACCGGAGATTTATTTTGAAATATTTAAATAAATATTAGAAAGGGATTAAAAATATTTTTTAATTTATAAAAAAACTTTAATTTGTGTACAATTTGACAGAAAAAAGCACAGGTATTGTTTGGGTAAACTTTTTTGTTTTGATGTTCAGTTTTGTTGATTTGTTTAGGACAAGAGTACCGTCCAGATAGTTTCGTAACTTCTGCGACAAGTTTCAACAAGTTTTACATAGTTTCGTATAAATCTCGAGTACTTTTGATGACCCATTTTACAAGTGCATAGTGGTCTAAAAAGGGAAATTAGTATTCAAAATTCTCCATAGAGATCAATTATTAACGGATTGGATTTTTTTGTTAAATAACCTGAGGGAAGTTAAGGTAAAACTTTATATTAAATTTATTTGGAAAGTATCATTAAATTTTTGATTTTAATACGCGATGATGAATTATGTTGTTCATTTAATGTATATCGTATTTTATGCATTTAAGTTTTGTTGATTGCAAACACGAGTTTGACCGTAAGGATTAGTATCGTTATAATTAAATCCCCTTTAAGGTCATAATATTCAGTAGTCACGTATCTCATATACTTGACTATTGAAACACGTGGATACTGAATAATATCTTCTTAAGTGTCTATTACAAACTATTTGCAACTTAAAGTAGAAAATATTCTAATTTAGATGAAAAATAATTCATTCCAACCAAATATTAATTTCTACTTAAAAAAGTTTATTTATTTTATAATAGCAAAAGGGCCCTTTTTTGATATTTTATTCATTCAACATTCCGTTCTTACCTTAATTGATTCTTTTAATTAAATTAAATCACAAACTTTATGAAAATGAACTAGGGCTTGAGTTAATTAAAAAAGAAAAATTTAAATCTAATAACAAGTTGTAGAGATTAGAAAGAGATTCATTAAAATAACTCTCAACCTATTTTCAATTATACAGTTTTACTAGCATTTAGATTTGTTTTTAATGTTAGAGAGAGTTTTTTTTAATACAGTTTCATTAAAAGTTAGAATATTCTGATTCTATTAGCAAACTCAATGGTGGACTAAAAACTTTATAAAAGTACTGCATTGAAATTATCAATCTCCTTGAAATTATGCCCGTCTGTATAAAAGATAAAATCAAAAATTTTCCTACTGGATGTTAGAAACTATTTTTTGAGGTACATAAAAAACTGAAAGTCATTTTAAATCCAAAAAGTTATAAATTCATTCATGTGGACTTTAAATGTTCCTGATGTTTGATTCTAACTTTATTGTAGATATACGTAATATTGATAATGATATAATTATTATAATTATAATACTATGATGTATTCCAATGTAGATTGTAAATCCAATTGAATTGTTTTATCAAATATTGACAGTTTTGGTTACATAACTTGTTATTTATTTTTTTAATTTGTTATTGTGTGAGAATATGTATTAAAATTAATATATTAGATAAATTACTAATATTATTAGAAGTTATAAAATTGTTATTATAATTATAATACTAGGATGTATTCCAATGTAGATTGTAAATCCAATTACATTATTTCATCAAATATTGACAGTTTTGGTTACATAACTTGTTATTTATTTTTTTAGTTTGTTATTGTATGAGGACAATTATTATAATTAACCTTTAGAGGGCTGGAAAATTTCCACAGATTTTAGTAGTGTTTTTAAAAAAAAAAATTATAAATAAGAAGTCAATTCGATAAAAAGATTTGTCAAAATAAGTGGTGGGCACTATAGTGACCACCCGGGCCCCCTAGAAGTTAATATATTAGATTAATTACTATAATTATTAGAAGTTATAAAATTGTTATTATAATTATAATACTAGGATGTATTCCAATTTAGATTGTATATCCAATTGAATTATTTATCAAATATTGACAGTTTCGGTTACATAACTTGTTATTTACTCTTTTAGTTTGTTACTTTAAGATGAAAGTATAAAAACCATTTTTGCAAACTTAGTAACTTGGTACAATAAAAACTGAAAGTCATTTAAAATCCAAAGTTATAAATTCATTCATATGTACTTTAAATGTCCCTGATGTTTGATACTAACTTTATTGTATACGCTCCAGTTATCTCTATAATATCATAAATCAGAATATCTTTTGTTGAACTTTTTTTTTTCTATTTTTGACAGAATGTATTTGCAGAAAGTTGCTTATATTCTAACATGGAAAACCAGTTTGTTGAACTGTAACGTCAATTTACCTTGTGAAAATCAATATTTGTTCTGATAGTTCTGTGGTGTAGTCCTTGCAGTGGTCTCGAGTTGTTCCCGAGAGGTGCCTTTGGGGAGTTGTCTGGTCCTTGCATCAGTTTTCTCAAAGCGTACAACTTTATCAAGAAAAAATTCCCAAAAATACAATTATGGTCAATCGTTGTTAAATCTAATATTAGAAAATAGATATTTATAAAAAAATTTAAGATTAATTTAATGCTAGGGTTTTTTAAGAATCCTTTAGATCCTTTAGTACCTCTTGAGCAGTGATGTAGATAGGTTTGTTCAGCACCAGCCAGACTGCAGTCTCCCAACAACCTGGATGTGTTGTACTTCCCTCATAGGTCATGTAGCCATTGGTATCGGGAAGTAAGGATCGCAACGACAAGTGACGAACTTGAGCCTTGTCACCTGTTAACAAAACAATCAATTCTTAAATTGGTGTTTTCTTCTTCACAATTTTTTTTTTTGCTGACGGGAAACGAGCATCATTTGTAATTAAATTTGATTGAAGGGGTGTAACCCTTGGCTGTGTGACCCTTCTACTATTTCCTCCCTTATTACACTCTTTTTTTTGCTTGTAAAGGTCGATGCCAATATGGGGATCGAATTTCAAGAAAGGATATAGTTGAGGGTGTGTACTTTAATCAATTGCCTGTTGACACTCGAGCGGCTACCGCACATAAATCATGATACAATGGAGTATGGGGTTACATGAAGAAGTGGAGCTGGATTTTCACATTCTACCTTCGAGCGCTACCTCGAGCATCCTGAATATTGTGTAGTCTCTATTATATTCATCACGTTACTCGAGTTATTTAGGGGGTTCGGTCGTTCTTAAGAAGATTATTTCATAAATTAATAATTCTCCAAAATCAGAACTGATTTTTTAAATAAAAAATTTTTATCATTGACAGTTTTGGTTACATAACTTGTTATTTATTACAGTGTTTACTTGTGATCCGCGTCAGATAGTCGACTGTTTTGTATTTTTAAAAAATGTATTGTGTAAATGAATCCGCAATCAATAGTACCCCAAGTTGCTTCAACTCATAAAAGTATTGCTAAATATTACGATCCGGATTCCAATACCACAAAGATGTATTCTTCGTGGTCGTTAAAGTCTAAACCATCATTAAAAGTAGAAGTCACGTATTGCTATTTTACAAGATTTTTTGTAGCCAAAAGAATGGTACTTTTTTAATGAAGGAAGTTTCATTAGAAGTGTTCCTCTTTCTTTTCATTGCATTTTATCGTATTAATGTCAAACTTGTTGAGAGTTCATTAATTAGATAAACGATTCTTTTATTTTTATTGCTTCCAAATAAATCAGATTATTGTTCAGGAAAAAAAATTCCCCTTCACAATTAGTAGAAAAGTTTAATTCTGTGTTAAAAGTAAGTAAGTTGTTTTACCGTAACCAATCACATTTGGAGTCTACGAAGGAAAAGGAGAATTAGTACGCAGCGTTGAAGCGAAAAATTCTAGTCGAAAATATATTTCTTGTGCACTGGGCGACTCGTTTACGCTCATCTTTCTACGTAGCACAACTTTTTTTTATGGTTTTTTTTCAGGTTACAGTTTTCACGTTTTTCATACGACAGTTTCTGCATGCCTACGAAGCTGTTTATTTTTCCACGACTTGTTTTTATATATCCGACTGACAACCACGTATTTCAACAAAGTATATAACTTGACGCGTTACCTAGAGCGTGATAGGGACATTCACGAATGCGCAAAGCTTAGGATACCTCACAATTTTCTTTTATTTCTTAATTGCAAGGTCGACTCTTCATTTTAATAAGAACTCTTTTCACTGGAACACTTTAAAATCTTTGTATTACATTTGGATCTAGGTGACCTAGTATATAACGTTGGTGCAAATGAAAAACGGAAATTTTAATTAATGTTATATATTTAAATTTAGACGTTCGGTGCGGTGGAATTTCACGAGGCACACACAAAAAAATCATGAAGCCTAACTATATTTGAGTGATTTTGCAAAAATTCCGGATTTTTCATACATGGCAACATCATTAGGAAAGGATCTTTTCATGAGGTACAGAATACTATCGTATAATTAAAAAAAACACGCGGCATTCCTTTGACAAGCTTATTCAATAGAACCTTGGAAATAGTTTTTCGACTCACAATTGTTTACATATACTTTCGTAATTCATGATAGAAAATTAAAAATTTAATGCCATAAAATATTAAGGAGCTAGGACCTTAATAGGACCTAAGAGCTAGATACATCTGTTGACATTTAAATTTTTTGAAATCTGACTTTAGCTTCGAATTCAGCGATCTTAAAACCCTTTGGACACCAATCTTTAAAAGAATTAAACTAATTTGTTTGTCCCCCATTTTGTATTTTGGAAATTTGATTACAGATTCGTAATTTTATTAGATTAAAATAGTTTTCAGAGATTATATTTTTACTAAGAGAAGAAAGAACTATACTTTACTAACAGGTGAATTGTAGTATTCGAAATGAATCTATACCTAAAAATATCTTGAAAAGTAAGTATGGATAGAATTTTTTTTATACTAAAATATTAATCTCCTATATTCCCTCCTGGTGTAAAATGATTTAAAAAATTCCTCTCGTTTCAGAAAAATACAAATCACTGAGGGGTCGTTCAATTATTACGTCAGCAAATTATTTTGAAGGTTTTTTGACATCTCTCTCCCTCAAATTTGTGATGATAAATGATGTAGTATGATCTGTTAATGAATTTGTTTTTTATCCTGTATAACAAAATTGTAAATCTATAATAAACAGTTTTAATGAAATTCCTAGTTATGAATTTAATCAGAAAATTTAATTTCGGTTATTCCAAATGTAGATTGTATATCTAATTGAATTGTTTTGTCAAATATTGACAGTTTTGGTTATATAACTTGTTTTTTATTTTTTAAGTTTGTCATTTTGTGAAAATAATTATTATAATTAATATTTAGATTAATTACAAAAATTATTAGAAGATATAAAAATTTTATTACAATTATTACACTAGGATATATTTTAAAGTAGATTGTATATCTAATTAAATTATTTTATTAAATATTGACAGTTTCGGTTACATAACCTGTTATTTATTTTTTAAAATTTGTTATTGTGTAAGGATAATTATTACAATTAATATATCAGATAAATTACTAAAATTATTAGAAGTTATAAAATTGTTTGATAAAAAGGCTTTTCAAAAGAAGTGGTGGACACTATGGTAGCATTGCGGCTATGCTAAATGTTAATATATTAGATTAATTACTATAATTATTAGAAGTTATATAATTGTTATTATAATTATTATACTACGATCTATTTAAATGTAGATTGTAAATCTAATTAAATTGTTTTATCAAATATTGTCAGTTTTGGTTACATAACTTGTTATTTATGCTTTTAATTTATTATTTTTAGTTGAAAGTTGAAAATATCGTTTTGCAAATTATCATTAAAATTGTTATATTGGATTTATTTAAATATAGATTATACATGTAATTGATTTATATCAATAAATATTGACAGTTTAATTACTTAATAGTTATTTATATATTTAATTTTTTATTTTTAGTTGAAAGTTGAAAATACATTCCAGCAAACTTGCCAATTATAATTATTAGAAGTCATAAAATTATTATTATATAATTATTATACTAGAATTTATTTTATTGTACATTGTACATCTATTTGAATTGTTTTATCAAATAATAATTATTAGAAGTTATAAAATTGTTATTATAATTATTATACTAGGATTTATTTCAATGTAGATTGTGTATCTAATTGAATTGTTTTATCAAATATTGACAGTTTCGGTTACATAACTTGTTATTTATTCTTTTAGTTTATTATTTTATGAAGATAATTATTATAATTAATATTAGATTAATTACTATAATTATTAGAAATTATAAAATTGTTATGATAATTATTATACTAGAATTTATTCCAATGTAGATTGTAAATCCAATTGAATTCTTTCATCAAATATTGACAGTTTCGGTTACATAACTTGTTATTTATTTTTTTAGTTTGTTATCTATGAGGAAAGTAAAAAAAATATTACAGCACTGATAGTAACTATAATTTTTAAAAGTTGCAAAATGAAAATTCCCCAAAGTCACAATACAGACAATGATTGTTGTTATTATCATGAACTACAGTGGGAGAATTGGAGAGTCTTCAAGCATTTAATATTCAGAGTACGATAATTTAGCGGAAGTACTTAAGTGAATCGCTAAGCTCGATTGAAAAAGGATGATGACAGTGCTAAAGATTGAACCCTTAAGTGGGATAAATTGACTGTTCGATCGGCAGTCAGTCGTGCGCGTGATTCGTTCCGCTGACTTTTTCACCCCCTCCCATTATGTCCCGTCGCGACTTCGACGAGTAATAAATCGTTTTTCTCACTCACCTCGGTAAAGCACCTTGTTGAACACACTGGTTATTATCCGTAGTTCCGGGTTCGGCGTGTCGCCAAGCTGAAACAGAAAATATCGATATCTCCGTCAATCATTTGCTTTCATATTCTCGTCAACATCTAATTCGTTTTATCATCGATTTCCCATGAACACGCGAGATGATGGGTGTGGGTATGGGTTGTGTTGGTTGTTTAGGGTGCCACTAAGTGCACCGCATAAAGAGGAAAAAGGTAAAGAGTCATTTTCCAACTTATATACACTCAGTCGTTATTAAAGTCATCTATAAAAAAAATATCCCCCGTTTCTGACCCCCAACACAAAAGATGGCAATAAACGGTGAAATAATAAAAGAATAACGGCCCAAGGAAACAAAGTCCAATCTTTTTATATGTCCTTAAGTGAGAGAATGTTGTATAAACGACGACGACGATGAGGAATTTACTTGAGAGGGCTTTCTGTATAAAAGAAAAATGGAAGGGAAAAAAAAACATTTCCAACATATAGGTTTTACGTTAATCTCGTTAAACTAGCATTCTTCTTTAACACACATACCTATATCTACACTCCAATTCACATTAGTTGAGGGGGGGGGGTGCTTCGCACACAGGTCTTAAGGAATGGGAAACTTTTTTAGTTTCTGTGTGAAATTCCAGCTGCTCGATCGATCGAGCAAAGATCGAACATCTTCCGAGTCGTTTGCATTCATGAGATGCAAGTCACGACATTTAAGTGCCGATTTAGTTTGAAATACTTCTCAACCTAAAGAGCGCAAAAAAGTGAGTTTCTGCCCCCGCTAGCTCAGAAAATAGTACCAGGCAATTAAATTCGAACTAAATTATGTCCATGATTAAATAGTTGAATGGAAAAGCTTTTCTCCCTGAAGACAATATTCATAGTGCTATTGCAATTTTCTGCTTTAAATATAATTACTTTTTTGTTTAAGTTTTTTTAATTATTTTTTTTCTTCATCGCAGCAATAGAATTCCATATAAGAATCATAACAGTGTCAGTGGAATTTTTCATCGAACACTTGGAGTTGGCGAACGAATCCAACAGACTACGATATACGGTTACAATTAAAAGATAACGCGTTACAATTGAGGGTCTTAACTCCCTTGGGACGCGATGTCTTGTTGATTTGTCAGTTATCCTCACTAACAACATACATAGATCCAAGTAAACAATTCATAAACTCAAAAATAAATCTTATCGCTAGAGGTTTATTAGATATACTTTGTGGGGAACATAAACTTGCAATAAACCTCCCATAATATTGCGAAACAGAAATGTAATTGTAAAATCCGTTATGGAGAATTGTTTTTCCATTTGGTTTACTTAGTCGAATGTTTTCATTGTTAGATTAATTAGCAGAATATATCATCTAAATTCTCTTTTTCGTGACTCTATAGGAAAAAAATTAAACCCTCTGGTCAAAAACTTCCCTAAATTGGTTTGGTCTACGAAACAAAAGAAATTATATTTTTAATCAACAGCATTTGTGGCAGAATTACTAATTATAATTTTTAAAAGTTATAAAATTATTATTCTAGGATTTATTCGAATGTAGATTGCATATCCAATTATATTATTATTAAATATTGACAGTTTTGGTTATATAACTTGTTATATATTTTTTTAGTTTGTGAGCGACTTGGGGACTCGTGAAGCATTTGGTCCAGGAATTGATGAGTCTTTAGCGCCACCCCAAAATTATTTCTTTCCAAAAAATTAATTTCGAACTAAACTGATAAGGTCATTATGTTTCTGCTATGTCATAAACATCTAAATGGATTCGCTATTTAAGTCTGAATTATCCAGTTGAAGATTTCTGTACGCCTTATAAATTACGAAACTGCTACGCAAAATAATAATGGTTTTATGGAAAGGGGCGTTTACATAATTTAATTTTTACTTTAATGCTTTGTATTTAATTATTCTGAGTTATGTAATGGGTTTATTATGCATAAAGCTTCCTGAGAAGGAGATCCACAATTTACTCCACTCACTAAATGGAACAATGATTTCACCTTAAATTATTTCCTATTGGCAATTAACATGTCATGTAATCTAGAGTGGGTGCAGGTGACGATACATATTAATCAATACTCTAATTGTTTATTAATGACTTCGTACCGTCTCACTGACCTCATCAGTCTAAAGGAGAACTTATAATTGCCTGGAATGTCTATCATTTAATGAAGTTTTGAGATTTTTCGAATAATAAAAATTAATGTTGACAAATCTGAAAATTAATGTATTTAGATAGCCATCCATAGCCTATCTAAGTTTTAAAACCTTGCGCCGTACTTTTTCCCTACGATTATAATTTTATTATTATTCATCCATCATGTCACAGCGCCTTCTTTTTAATAGTCAGTCCCAAGTCAACTACTCATTAAATTACAGATTTTGTTATCCGCAGTCGGTAATTACCCACAGTCGATAAAATAGAATACCAATTTATCGGTAGTCACGACGACTTCTAACATAGTTTATTAGTTCAAGATGATCGCTGCTAGTATTTTGAAAGGACCAAGACAATAGCTTTCGTCTTCCTAATGCTCTTGAATATTTGGAATTTCAAAAAAAAATTTACAAAATGTACAGTAATTATTTATTAAGGAACTGTTGTTTAATGTAGATCAAAATTACAATAAAATTTGTACACTATTTTACTCACAAGTTAAACATTGTTTAGTACAAGTTCAAAATTATTTTATGCTATTTGAAAATTGTTTCTTAAAACTTTGTAACTGACTTGTACAAGTCGAGCGCAAGTTTCAAACTAATTTTGAAGTTTTCAGTTTTAGTACGAATATATAGGGTCAAAATTTAAACAATTTTACTTTATACTATTGCTTAATTAATTTAACCCATATAACGAGGCATACTAATTGTTATTTATGTATACTACTGATGAATTTTTCCCCACAATATTCAATTGAAAAATAATTTAAAGAAAATGAATTTTTTTTCAAATGTTTGTAAATATTAACTAAGCTCAATTAATTTTCGAAAATAAACACTTGAAATATTAAATTAGGAAACAGAACTTGGTGATTGTCTTTCGGCAGCAAAAGGGATGCGCGGGAATAGGAGGTATTCGCTCATTTAGATTTCCCGGCCTCAAGGCACCTTAGGGTATAATCCGTTTGAATTACAGTCATCAAACCTTTCCCAGCTACCCCTTTATCAGTTACCCGTTCATCGAGGGATTGAGCATCTGTTGAAGGAAACCCTCTGTAGTCACAACCAGTTCATTCATCTCGAAAATAGAAAAGAAATATATTGTTTAAATGGTTTTTCGTAAACAAAAACTAAATTTTAATTCGAAATGAATATTTGAATGTTAAAAATATCAAATTTCTAAAATCATAAAAAACGTACTCAAATATTTTTCCTAGCCTATACTCGTAATGAGATAAATGTTAGGGAAAGTGTCAAGCTTCATTTTGGTACCAACTGGAACTTGATATCTTGCATACAAGAAAACTTATGACCATTTGAATTCAAAGCAAGTTTACATGTTAAAAATATCAAATTCCTAAAATTATAAAAAACATTCTCAAATATTTATCCTAACCTATACTCATAATGAGATAAAAGTTAGAGAAAGAGTTGAGCTTCATTGTGGTACCAACCGAAACTTAATATCTTGCATACAAGAAAACTTATGGCCATTTGAATTCAAAACAAGTTTACATGTTGAAAATATCAAATTCCTAAAATCATAAAAAACGTTCTCAAAAATTTTTCCTAGCCTATACTCGTAATGAGATAAAAGTTAGCGAAAGAGTCTAGCTTCATTTTGGTACCAACTGGAACTTGATATCTTGCATACAAGAAAACTTATGGCCATTTGAATTCAAAGCATGTTTACATGTTGAAAATATCAAAATCATAAAAATCGTTCCTAAATATGTATCCTAGCCTATACTCGTAATGAGATAAAAGTTAAGGAAAGAATCTAGCTTGATTTTGGTACCAACTGGAACTTGATATCTTGCATAGAAGAAAACTTATGGATAAATGAATAAAATACTAGTATTAAGTTTACTTTACTGTTTGTGTGGAAACATGTTATTCTTTGATTTTTCTTTTCGTTGTCCTTGAGTTTTATTGTATTTTGATGCACTATGGATTGTACCATGATTTTCCTATTTAAAAAAGTTTCTTGCTTTGACGTAACAGAACAAAGAAAATGTAAGTAATTTTGTCAAAAATAAAAGTTAATTATAATTCCGAGAATTATACTAGTACTTATTCGTATGTAGATTGTGTATCCAATTGATTTATATTTTTAAATATTGACAGTTTTGGTTATATAACTTGTTATTTATATTTGTAGTTTATTATTTTTAGTTGAAAGTTGAAAATACTTTTTAGCAAATAAAAATTAGAACTGAAATGTAAATTTTAGTTATGGTCAATTCAAACTTAGGAGTTAGGGTATCTGTCGTCGGTTTAGGTTTAGTATTTTGGTATTGAGACAATAATTATGTAAATTCGCCTTGGGGAAATTCTGATTGAGTGATTGTCAGAGGTTCAGCCGAACTACTGGTTCTTGACAATAGAAAGCCTTTGTTCGAGTATTGTGGGAAAAGTTGGTCCGCCATGTGTAGCGTAAGCTATTCTATTTTACGACTCCTGAAGACGTTTTTTTTGGACAAGACGTTGCCCTCTAGAAAAATATGTTGTAATATGTTGTAGTGTCTATACACGAATAATATTTTTACGAGAAGTGCACTAATTGTATTGGAACAAAATGCAAAATACTTCTGAAAGTATTTTCACCTTATTTAGATATTTACGTTTACAAATTTTATACAATTTTACTATTGAATTTTCATTTTGAAATCAATTTTCCAAAGTTGATTCTGTCTGAACGATATATTTAGATAAATTGAAGTCGGTTCGAAAGTTTTTCAAACAAGGTCTACCGCTAAAGTTCATGTTACTTAAATGTGTTAAGGAACTTTCTTCAACTTGATCAAAAACTTTATTTGTATTTTATATTTTTTTAGGAGATTTGCTGGTTTTTCGTTGCCATCAGCAGTCTCGAAAATATACCAAAGTTTGCCCAGCTGTTTGTCTGGAGCAAGCTGCCTCAAAGTACATCAACCTTTTCTCCTTGAGAATGTCTTTTCCAACTTGCTTTTCTCACGCGGTAGAACTGGTAGGAAGCCTACAGGCTTGAGGTGCAACCGAGTTCGGGACGAAACTTGGTAATTTATTCTTGGATTCTGTTAACCGCCAACTGCTGGGAAATATTTTGCATGTTTGTTTTTGACTTCCACCTTTTAACAGCTTTTGGTTTAGGATACTCTAGGGGTAATTAATAATAAAGTATGTTGTTGAATTTGATGTTAATTTTTTTTAATATGAATCTTTTTTCCACTGCTTGATTGTTGGGTGAGGCAATTCAGTAGGCTTAAAATCAAGTCATTTAGCGTCGTCAGAACTGAAGTTGAGCTTGTTGGAGTAAACGGAGAGATCCTTAACTACCGACATAATTGGCAATTTAGCGGCTTCCCAAAATCGATTTAACCTCACAGTTAACGATGAAGAGGTCACCAGTCAGTACGACTCCAACCCGCTTCCGTGTTTTACACAAATAAAGTCAGGCTTCATGTTTAATTGCTGCGTAATCGAAATTTATCTCATCAGAAGATTACTTCAGTCATTTGCCTTTGAGTAACCGGAGTAGGAAGAAAAACCATAGGACTGAAACTTAAACAGAGTTGCTTTCCTAAAGCAACTCCGTTCCCCAACGGAAATTTAATCAGTCTCATTTTGGTCTTCAACACGTTAACCATAGTAGTTAAAACATCTCAGTTCTGTAGTTACTTTGTGAAAATAAAATAAGAATAAAAACTTTGTTTATTTCTCGAATCAATTGCAAAAGGTATCAGGGAGATGAGGACCCCAACCGTCCCAAAGATACCTAACATCTAAAAGACGTCTTAAGACCACAAAATATCCTTAGGAATTCGTTTGACCTAATATAAGGATCCTAATTATGTCCTAAAAATATTTCAGGTCCCAGCGTCCTCAAGCTTAATACTAAAATAACATTTTGCAAATTTACCTGCACCATTAGGGAAATAGCCACTAAACCTTGACTTTTGTGTTGTGCTTCACTCATGTTGTGATACAATTCAGCGTTAAATCCATAGACTTGAATCTGTAAAACAAAACAATTATAATTATACTTTAACATTCATATTGTAAATCATTAAAAATTTTATTCAGTAATAAAATAATGATAGACTCTCGATAGTCGCTATTAGAGATAAATATTTATCAGCTATTAAATTTTAACTCTTTATTTTATCAAATTACATAAATATGTAGAATCGTTTAGCTAATATTGCTCAATATAGTGTATATAAACGTATATAAAAATTTTCACATAAATGTTTATCAAAACCATTTATCGAAATGGCAGCAACGCTTTGGTGTATTTAATACTAAAATACCCACTGGGTTAATATCAAAGTAGGCAATTTTCCAGAGCGTATAATTCTAGTCAGAGTATTCTCTATTGTTATTTAAATGCACAGTCATATAAACAGAAATACTAGAGGCAATGCGGAGTTAAAACAAATATAATTTTCCAAAGAAAATGTTTTTTTTTAAAATTATTTCAAAGAAAGATAAGAAGAAAAAATCAAAAAAAATTAGTTTTCAAATATATCTGTAGAAAGAAATAAAATTGAAAGTAAATTTTCCAATAGCTGTAAAAGGGTCAGGGTAATATAATTTTTCAAAATGATCTTTTTTCAAGGAAACTTTTTTTTTTGTTAAGTTGATTTTCTGATACTGTGGTAGATAAAATAAAGTTTCTTTAAGAAGTTTCTTAGTGGGTTTTGTGTGGAGAACTAGCATCGTATTATACTTGAGAGTACCAGTCGTAACAACGAAATACCACTGAAAATTTCATCCGTTAAAACGAAAAGCCTTTCTTCGTAAAATACCACATAAAACTAAGCACATTATGAGGCCTCTAAAAATCACCTTTCATAAATCTTGATGAGGAGTTTACTGGATTTAAAATCTTTCTAATTACATATTCAATATTAATTTTATAACAAATGAAAAAATAACTCAATTGCTGTGGTAAAAATTTTGAATAAAAAACTCAGTAAAAACAATGTGTTAAAATTTGTAACCATCCAAATCGTTTTCCTTATTTTTGTAAATATGCCGTTCTCGTAGTTTCTCCATCTTACAACTTATCGCGCCCAGCGATAGCCCATAAGGTACCGCAACCTTCGGTAATTAACCGAATTATATATTCGGGTGTCATCGGGCCACACACGAAACGTGTTATGGATTACCATGACGATCTCAAGCGATTCTCTCATCAGAGAGAAGCGAGACTTCAAACCGCGATTTTCCGCGCGTAATCGATGCGCTGCGTCGCATCCTCGTTATTTTGTATATAATTTAAGTTTATTCTTTTATTAAATGTTTTTCAATTATTAATCTTATTGTTTTCTTGTGTTGTGCGCCTTCTTTCTAATAGAATTATTTTTCGTCTTATCAGCGATCCAACAATCTGCGAACTTGGTAAGTTTGATCAATCTTTACTCATCTGTGTGGCTCGTCTCGATTCGCAACTGCTCATCGAACTACGTCGCAGGTTGGATTGCCCTTTTTATTGGATTATGGAATCTCTGCTCAAATTATTGTGTCGGCTATCGCGAGCCGAACCCTGACTTTTGCTCTTTTTAGAATTATTAAAAGACTCGCGAAGTTCGTCACAAATTATAAGATGCTGTTCGTTATTCTGTCAACAAGGGAATTTATATCCAGGAAAGGATTCTCTTCGGCAGAAGGTGTTCTGACCTAGTTCTAAGCATCAGGAATTCTCCTTTTTGATTAAAAACAAATTTTTTCTTAACCAACATTTTCTAATCGATGACTTTTTTTTTAACTTTTTTGGATTCAATTCGCAATTAGGGGAAAGTTTCTAAAAAATTTCTGACTTTCGAAGGGAAATAAAACTCGGTTATATAAGTGTTTGATCATTTGTAGGTTCTGAGCTTTGTTGATGCCGCAAAGGTGCTTGAAGAATATTCCTTGTACTCCTTCCACTTTAGTCTCCAGCTTCACTAATGCGTAATCACCCCAACTGTGGATACTGTTGAAAATCCACAACCATTTCGAACCCTTCTTGAAGCGATTTTCCCCGGCAGTCGAGAGGGTGTTTTCCACTCAAGGACTCCAACCATGCGGACATGGTCTTTGTTATAAATTAATTAACCCACAACCAACAACATCGATCTAATTCAAAGGAGATATATACTCTCTTGTTCAAAATGGTAATTCTGTTTGAAAAGAATTTTTCACATTCAATGTTTCGTGAAAGTCTTGTTTTCATTTGCAATTCCACGCAATAAAATCATTTCGTTTACAATTCAGATTTTCATTTAATAAAAAAAAAAATTTCTCCACAAATCTGTTGATTGAATTTGAAAAAAAATATATTCTCTTTTCTCTTAATACACTAAGCACATTATGAAAGAATATCCAAATATTTGTCTATTAAATAAATATTTTAATTCTATTTTTAAATACATCAGTAATTCAAAAAGGAAGAAATTAATTATACAGAAGATTAATTGTCTAATTCTATTCAGTGGAGTGTGAAGATAAAAAACATTTAATGTGAATTTGAATTATGACCTGAAATTATTCTACCGTATTGTTTAGAATTCCGTTTTAAATAATTAAGCGCATTATGAGAGGCTAGAAGATAATTATATTCCAGACAAAAAGTGGAGTAACAAATGTTGAGTAGAAATAAATTTTCATTGGTGGTGAAATTATCGATTTAGAAAGGGAGATAAAACCAAATCTGCTAATCAGTATTTCGTCACCATCCTGTAGGGTCAGCATAAAAAATTAAATGACTAACATAACATTGACCTCGAAAGTAATTAAAGTTGGTTGTGTTATCATATTGCCCCCTTGCAAGGAACTGTATAAAATACTATCACTATCACTTCCCACTCTCACGTCCTACTCCTACCTTCCACTTTCAGTCTTCACTTTCCACTCTTACTTCCCACTTTCCACTGACACATTCCACTTTCAGTTACCACTTTCCACTCTCACTTCCCACTCTCACTTCCCACTTCCACATTCCACTCTCACTCCCAACTTCCACTCACTTCCCACTTCTATTTTCTACTCTCACTTCCCACTCTCACTGTCCATTTCCTACTTAGAAATAGCACACACTTTTTCACTTCCACTTTCACACATATTTTCCACTTCCCACTCCCACATTCACTTTCCACTTTCAGTTACCACATTCCACTCTCACTTCCCACTTCCACTGTCCATTTCCCACTTAGAAATAGCACACACTTTTTCACTTCCACTTTCACTCTTATTTTCCACTTCCCACTCCCACATTCACTTTCCACTCTCACTTTTCACTTTACAGTCTCATACTCCCACTTGCCATTTCCCACTTAGAAATAGCACTCACTTTTTCACTTCTACTTTCCACTTTAAGTTACCACTTTCCACTCTTACATCCCACTTCCAATTTTCCCTCCTACTTCTACATTCCACTCTCACTTCCCACTCCCACTTTCCACTCTCACTTCCTACTCCTACTTTCCAATCTTTAATTCCCATTCCCACTTTCCACTTTTACATTACACTTCCCACTCTCACTTCTCACATTCCATTCCAACTCCTTACTTCCCACTACCACTCTTCACTCCCACTCTTCACTTTCACTTCTCACTCTCACTTCCACTTTCCAATCTTGTATATTGCTTTCGTGTCTCGCACTCTACCAACTTGAAAAAAATAGATATAGTGGGAAGTGGAAAATGGAAGTAAAAAGTGAGAGTGCTATTTCTGAGTGTGAAATAAAAAGTGAGAGTATAAGATTGTAAAGTGAAAAGTGGTAGTGTGAAGTGAGACTAGAAAATGTAAGTGAGAGTGAAAAGTGAGTGTGGAATGTGTGAAGTAAAAGTGGGGAGTGGAAAGTGCAGAGTGGGAGTAGAAAGTGCAGAGTGGGAGTGGAATGTGACAAGTGGCAGTGGGAAGTGGAAAGTAAGAGTGAGGAGTGGAAAGTACTGATTGGGAGTAGAAAGTAGGAGTTGGAAATGAGAGTGGAAAGTGAAGAGTAGGAAGTGAGAGTGAAATGTAAGAGTAAGAAGTGGGATTAAGAAGTGGAACATAAGAGTGGAAAGTGAAGAGTGAGAGTGGAAAATAGAAGTAGGATGTGAAAGTGGAAAGTGAGAGTGGAATATGATAGTAAGAAGAGTGTGGAAAGTGGGAAGTGAGAGTGGAGTGAAAGAGTGAAAAGTGGGAGTGAGAGTAGAAAGTGGAAGTGCGAGTGGAAAGTGGGAGTTGGTGTAGAAAATGGAAGCGAGAGTGGAAAGTGATAGGGGGAAGTGAAAGTGGAATGAAAGAGTGGAAAGTGGGAGTGAGAGTAGAAAGTGGAAGTGAGAGTGGAATGTGGAAGTGAGAGTGGAAAGTTGGAGTGTGTGTAGAAAGTGAAAGTGAGAGTGGAAAGTGATAGTGGGAAGTGGAAGTGGGAGTGGGAAGTGGAATTAGAGAAATGAGTTTGGGAAGTGGAAAGTAAGAGTGGAAAGTGGGAGTGGGAATTGAGAGTGTAATATGAGAGTAAGAAGTGGGAGTGGGAAGTGAAGAGTGAGAGTGAAATGTGAGAGTGGAAAGTGGGAACTAAAAGTGGAAAGTGGCAAGTGATAGTGGGAGTCTCTATTTTTTTCAACTGGTTAGGATCCTTCCATTTTTTATGTGAAAGAGGAACATTGCAAATTTTTAGATACAACGAATTGAACACTCTGTACAAACAAAATTTTTTTGTCTGCCGGTGTTATAAACACCAAAATAGATACAGAAATAACAAAATTGAAAACCAGATTATTTTTCTTTTATTTATATTTCAGAAAAAAAATTCCCCAATACTAAATTTTTCCTCGTCTATTAAATTACACAGTGTGACTATATTTTCGGATATTCACAGTCTATTGAATGAAAAAAAGAAAATTTACAAACACATGATTCCATTGTGTACAACAGTAATTAACCATCTATTCATGTTTTTCCTGGATTCCACTAAATCAAAGGAAATTCACTTTAGTATTTGCGATTTTGGTCTGGATATTTGAGATTTGAAATGTGAGTGAA